CTGCTACTACTACTAATACTACTACTCCCAAAGCCGAAACCATGCCGTTGCTATTGCTGTTGCTCGTCAATGCCAGCAACCTGTTGACATGATCGGTGATTGTGCTCTCGGCGACCTCAGTCACGCCAAGCTGGGCCCCTCTCTTCATTCGGAGCTTCAACCAAATTAATTTGCCGCAGATCTGATTACGAAGGAAATACGGATCTGCAAGAGACGAAGGCCGTCCGCACAACATGTGGTTCGCAAAACCCGCGGATCCTTGTTCAAGTTGGCAAAGAGATGCTGTGCAGTGCCCAGCTCGTTGATGCTCATCTGAACACCGCCATCACCTATGACGACGACAGCCCGTCCGTCACCCGCTCGGATGAGGCTAGCGACTATGCCCGCGCAAAGGCCGTAGCCCATGGTCCCTAATCGCTCCGAGGACAAGGTCCTCTGTCCCTTGGTGAGGCAAGCTGACAAACTGGCCCACAGGGTCACATCACCAACATCCACACAAAGAACGTCGTTGGTCTCCATGCGCCGAGACATCTCCTCCCATACAGTATCATACATGGTCAGAGATGGTCACAGTGTCACTTTGTGATCTCTGCACTTTGTCTCCGATATTTTGTCTGAAGCCTGAATCCCCACCCGACTCCTTCATGACTGTGTCCGGGTGGCACAGGTCTTGCGAGGCTGGGCTCGTGCACAAGAACCGAGATGATTCTCTTTTGTGCAGCTTCCACTTGCCGTTGTGGATGTTAGACCTTGGCAAAATGTCTGCACATGCATATAAATTACACCACCGAAACCCAACAGCTGAGACCAGAGCTATACCTCTTGCTGATTTCAAGAGCCCACATGACGGGCCGACATAAGGGAGACAACGGAAGACAAGCGTCGAAAACCAAGGCATTGGCTGCCCTGATCGTTCCGAAATGAACTGAGACAAGGGGGAGACAAGCGTCGTCGTTGGTCACCCTCACCGGTCGCAAATGAAGGCAGACACGGGGGACAAGGGAAGGCGAAGGGCAGTCACTCAAGGGCAAAGTTCAGTGAGCTGTGGAACCCACAAATAACAACTTCAGTGTTTGTGCTCAACTTGGGCTTCCTTTAAGCATCCCAAAGTCAACCCGGCACAGGCTTTTTGATCATTTAACTATTTGACAATTTACACGACAAGCGCAAAACATTTGGCCGGTTCGACCGGCTTGCTCCTGTCTCGACGGGATTGCTTCTCTTTCTCAAGTTTTCTCGTTGTCAACGTCTCTGTTTCTGTTCGGCGTTTCATTTGCTTCTGCTCCTCCGGATCCTTTTCGACTGGTTTGCCTCTTTTTCTCAACTTCGCCCAGCTGTCAAATTCCCTAATCTCGTTCACGCGGTTTTCTCCTGTGAGGGAATTCAACAGAGCTGGGGTTGAGAAAGACTGTCGAGAAAGAGGCGCAAAACCTGTCGACAGTGCTTAGAAAATGTAGAACACAGGAGCAGGCCGCCCAAAATGGACCAGAGAAATTCACCAAAGGAGTTTGGAAACAAGGAACAAACCCGCCGGAAGGAATGGGAAAGGGAATAAAGACTGGAGCAAAGGGGCACACCAGGTTGCCAGGCGAAAGAGACGGGACAAACTAACAGACAGGATAACTTGACAAGGAGTAATAAGCCAACCGACAGAACTAAAATCTTTGAGAAAGATAACAATGCCCCAGGGACCTGTTCACGCGCGCGCAAATGTGCGCGCGTGCAAAATCTACTGGCTCTGCAGTGATTTCAAGCTTCGGGAGGTGAGGAAAGCAGTGCAAAAACTGCCATATTTTTTTGTCAAGCAACACGCCACTTATGGATGCTCTGGTAATCCTATGCTCTGGAAACACGAACGTTATTATGGTTTGGGCATGGATGCTCTGGTAATCGTATGCTCTCGAAACACGAACGTTGTTATGGTTTGGGCATGGTCCTCATCGGGCTCCATGGCAAGAAAAGCTGCTTTGAGGCCGAAAGGTCTGCGGCCATAAACCCCTGAAGCTGCCACATGCGCGAAATACTGCGTACACCAGTACTTTTGCACCCTTTCCAATGAGAAATGCCTGAAAGTCCTCTGCCAGCAACATTGCAAGCTTGAAACCGCCTCAAAGTGCGCGTTTACAGGTCTCTGGAGGGGATAACAAACACCGCCGAAGAGGATAATTTGAGAAAGAGGAGCAAAACAAGCCAAACGAAATAGATGCTGAGATAGAAACGCCTAAAGATGTGACCGACAACACGAAACATTGACGAGACTTTGACAGATGATACCAACGACACGAAGTCGAATGTTTGACAAAAAAGCGCAAACCACTCCAAAGAGACTACAGGCTGTGCCAAAAACGAGGTATTGAGAAAGAGCAGCGAACCATTCGAAAAGAAGTGGAATTATTGCGAAAGAAATGCTAACCACTCGAAAGAGACCAGAGCATTCGCCAGAAAACGAGAGAATTGAGAAAGAGGAACAAACTCAGGGAAAGGAACTAGAATGTTTGAGAAGGGAGACAAGGACAAGGCCTGCAACCCAGAAAAAATAACACGCCACAAGCGGAGGGGAGGATGGGAGACCATAGGAGACAAGGAGTCGAGGCACCCACAAAGGTCACCAGGATGTAGGCAATCCACGTATTTTTTCCCAGGCATCGAAGAATTAGCTAGAGGCCTAAAGACAGCTTTAGATGGACGGGACGTGATGGATACGTGCTTTTCGATGTCACGAAATAGCTGCCCCGAACCATTGAAAGACTTTCGCATACTTTCGCACTGCAGCAGTACTGCGTTCTGTTAAGGGAACAAGCATCCAATCTGTCTTACAGGTTTTGAGACAACAGTGTAACAGCTGAAAGGTTCTCCCAACACAGACTTCGACACCATAACTTCTTCTCATCCGCCGGGAGCTCCAGCTTCGCATGACGGGGTGGAGGTGCCATGTGGAGGTTGGCAGCGTCCATCGGCGTCACGATGTCCATCCCGCTGTAGGCCAACTCCCTGGGGGCTCTAAGAAAGGCAGGTCATCAAGGTGCAGCCTCAGAGCAGCTTCTCTCGGGAATGCCTACGATGGTTTCTGGCTTCTACTTCCTCAAACCCTAGGCCCAAGGCTACCTGCCTGTGCCAGCCCTCCATGAAACTCGGATTCTTGGCAATGGGATCTTTCTCCTGCGGCCCCAGCTCAGCCAACAGTCGACGGAGAGTAAACTTCACGTTTCCAACGACATCGTACAACGCTCTGTATCTCGCATTGATCCGTAGGCACATGGCATCGGGCTCGAACGTGATCATAGGCCGAATTTGCAGGCCTGCCCTGTTGCACAACAAAAGAGTATCGTCGTGATTACCAATGGAAATCACCAACTGAGAAGTCTCAATGACTTTCGTCGCGAGCTCAAGTCCAGATTTGCCGTGCACCCCGATAACGCCAAAGACGAGGTTGTGAGACTCGTCGACGCATCCTTTCGCATCAAGCCGTGTCAGCACCGGAGCATTGATGCGCTCAGCAAGCTGGAGGATCTCCTTCCCGGCACCCACAGCACGATGGCCCACGGCGATCACAACCCGGCCACTTCCGCGGCCAGAGGCAGCTCGGAGCTCAGAAGCAACATTCTTGATGACGTAGGAGTGCGTCTCTGACAGCTCAACGTCATCCCTTACATCTGATGCACAGAAAGGCTTCAAGGGCACTGGACTTTTTGCAGCCTGGACGTCCACTGGCAAGCCCAGATGAACAACCGTTCGGAGGGACAGTGCCTTCGCGACAGCATCTCGGACCAGTGGTACCAGGGCATCAGGGCTCGAGACGTCGAGACTCAGCGGGAGGCCCCCAGCTGCAAACATGCGGCTCTGTTGGAGGTCTTGGAATTCGCTGTAGCCGATGCCACCTCTCGGCTTGAGGCCTGTAATCGCTATCATCGAGCATTGATCTTGCAAGGCGTCGAGCAGGCCCGTTGTCAGGTTTGAGGCTCCTGGCCCTGAGGTAGCAACGCAAACCCCCAAGTTGCCCGTCAGCTTGGCATAGGCAGCTGCCATGAGTGAGGCGTTGGCCTCGTTTCGTGTGCAAACCCACTGCACCTTCGGGTGGCTCACGATCGCATTGACTAGTGGTACAAGGGCACCACCATGTCCACCAAAGACGTGCGTGACGCCAGCATCCTGAGGTCAGATGCCAATGCCTCTTTAATCCCCTCTTCTGTTCCCTGGGCTCTACGCAAAGAAGGGACTGGCGACGAGTTGCAACTAATGCGTTGACCACCCATTCGGAACCTGCGCAGCTTTTGGGCTAGGGACCTTTTTTTGAGAAGATTCGGGAGGAGCGCTCTTAGCACCTCTGAGCTCTTGCATGTACTCATGTACACTCGTTGCACTCGCAAGTCGTGATGGTAGAAGCGTCTTACGGCGATGGCTTCGATTTGCAAACGAGCCGCAGTTGCATGTGCTTGGAGGCGGTGCGAGTAGCGGACACACCGAATCTTCCGACATCGCAGCGTGCTCTTGCATGCTTTCATTGATGAGCCATACTTCCTGATTCCCAGGCGAGCTTGAGTTGGCAGTTTGAAACCAACATCCCTCGACTGCTGAGAAGTCTCCAGATTGAAACTCGAAACGATGCTGGATGCATCCAGGTGATAGACCTCCTTCACATCCTTCCAAACGTGTGCATGCCTATATGTCATACGTTGTAAAACCGCAGACTTCGCCGCAGCAGAGCTGCCTGCAGCCGAACACATGCCAGTCCTGAGGCAGCACCTCTTGAGGCGTTTTGGCCTTGCAGCTGCGCCGCAGCGTCACCAGATGGGCATGCAAGTTGAGGAAGTCCGCTCCTCCTCGCAAGGAGCCATGGCAAAGCCTTGCCAACCCTTTCAAATAGGGGACCCTAATATAGTACCCTAAAAAGTAGGATCCTTTCAAAATACGGTAAACCCCCCCCCTAAAATCCCGCCTCCTCCAGCAGATCCAGAGGCTCCCTTGTACAGGACCTCGCGCAGAGGCTCAGGCTCACCTATTGGTGCCCGTTCTCAGGCCCTTCTTATTAGATATAGTATAATAATTATAATGATAATCATAATAATAATAATAATCATAATAATAATAATATAATATAATAT